AATGCGAGTCAGGACAGGGACGCTGCGAGAAGCTGAGGAGGCCACTTCAGCCCTGGAAGCATTCTGATGCCTGGGTTTCAGCCTGGACTTGCCTGCTGTCCTGTGGGGTCCCACACCTAGGAGGATGGGAGTGTGACAGGCGGCCTTAGCTGCCTCTGCCCACGGCTGTGGAGGCGAACAGCCTGCTGGCCTCCTAGACTGGGCAGCTGCCTGGGGCCTGCACTCAGAAGGGCCCTGAGCGTGGTTCAAGGGTCTGATGTCACCACATTGAAAATCTCAGGTTCTTTAGGGCCGGGAGCAGTGGCTCACACCTGCAATCCCAGCACTTCGGGAGGCCAAGGCGGGCGATCACCTGAAGTGTCAGGGATTTGAGACCAGCCTGGTCAACATGATGAAACCCTGTCTCTACTAAAAAAATGCAAAAATTAGGCTGGGCATGGTGGCTCACACCTATAATCCCAGCACTGTGGGAGGCCAAGGTGGGTGGATCACCTGAGGTCAGGAGTTGGAGACCAGCCTGACTAACATGGTGAAACCCTGTCTCTACTAAATAATTAGCCAGGCATGGTGGTGCATGCCTATAATTCCAGCTACTTGGGAAGTTGATGCAGGAGAATCACTTGAACTCAGAAGGCGGAGGTTGCAGTGAGCCAAGATCATGCCATTGCACTCCGTCCTGGGCAACGAGTGAAATTCTGTCTCAAAACAAACAAACAAACAAATATCAGCCAGGCATGATGGCAGGTGCCTGTAATCCCAGCTACTCGGGAGGCTGAGGCAGGAGATGAATTCGGGAGGCAGAGGTTGCAGTGAGCCAAGATTGCGCCACTGCACTCCAGCCTGGGTGACAGAGTGAGATTTCATCTCAAAAAAAAAAAAAAGCGGGGGAGGGGAAAGTGGTTAAGATATTGCTTAACTTTAGACTTTTAAATTTAAAATAATTGGGAAATTTCAAGGACAACTATTAACAGAACGTAATTAGAATGTTTAAGTCCCGGCCAGGTGCTGTGGCTCACACCTGTAATCCTAGCACTTTGGGAGGCTGAGGTGGGCGGATCACAAGGTCAGGAGATCGAGACCATCCTGGCCAACATGGTGAAACTCCATCTCCCTACTAAAATACAAAAAATTAGGCAGGCATGGTGGCGCACACCTGTAGTCTCAGCTGCTCAGGAGGCTGAGGCAGGAGAATTGCTTAAACCTGGGAGGTGGAGATTGCAGTGAGCCAAGATTGCACCACTGCACTCCAGCCTGGTGGTGACAGAGTGAGAGACTCTGTCTCAAAAAAAAAAAAAAAAAAAAAAAAAAGAATGTTTAAATCCCCAATAAGTACAAAGAAGAAACAGAAGAAAAAAACCAACAAAATCTGTACTCCAAAAAAAAAAGGCAGGCAAAAAGCATTAAAAACCTGAGGAGAAATTTAAGAGAAGAGAAGCAAGTTCATATAAAAATAATTTGTCTGGGGCGGTGGCTGGCTCATGCCTGTAATCCCAGCATTTGGCAAGTTGAGGCGGGCGGATCATCTGAGGTCAGGAGTTTGAGACCAGCCTGACCAACGTGGTGAAACCCTGTCTCTACTAAAATGCAAAATTAGCGGGGTATGGTGGTACCTGCCTGTGGTCCTAGCTACTCAGGAAGGCGAGGCAGAAGAATCATTTGAATCTGGGAGATAGGGATCACACCACTACACTCCAGCCTGGGTGACAGAATGAGACTCCATTAAAAAAAAAAGCTGGGCGCGGTGGCTCAAGCCTGTAATCCCAGCTACTCAGGAGGCTGAGGCAGGAGAATTGCCTGAACCCGGGAGGCGGAGGTTGCGGTGAGCTGAGATCGCGCCATTGCACTCCAGCCTGGGTAACAAGAGCGAAACTCCATCTCAAAAAAAAAAAAAAAAAAAAGGGCTTCAGGTCAAATCAGGGCTACCTGGTCTGGGAGAGGCACACCTCTAACTGCTGATGCCACCATAACCCTCAAAGGGTCTCCAGAAGCTTCCACCGACTGCTGTTGGCTGCACCAGGCAGTGAGTATCAATGCATTTAATCATCACAAAACCTGGCAGGCAGACGGCGGTGGATTGTCTGAGGACTGCTGATCAGACGGTGGAGGCCCAGTGCGTCTGTGACTGGACCACAGAGTGAGTAGCCGGGGCTGACAGTGGACCCTGGGCTGCTGCAGGTGCCCCTGAGCTGTGCCCTTGACTGCACGCTGCAGGTGGAGGGATCCACGCAGCTGGCGCTGATTTGGCGTGGGCCCTGAGCCATGCACGCCCTTCGAGACGCAGTGCTGTCTGCCAGCCCAGGAGGCTTCTCACCTGTCTGTCTGAGCCAGGGCCTGGGAGTTTCAGGGCTGGGGAAAGGAAAGGAAACTCAAGGCTGGGGTCAGGAAGAGGGGGACCATTCTGCTGCTCAACCCCACTCCCCCAAACCTGGCCTTTAGCTCTTCACAAATGAAAGGTGACAAGGCCAAAGCAAGGTTCCTTACGCCAGTTCGCTTCTGCCTTAAAAAACCAAACCACCAGCAATCTTTTCCAAGCAAGTATAAGCACTGCGTGAGGACAGAGTGGGCATTTCCTTCTAGAACAGAAGACTAGGCCCCCCTGGACAAAGAGACCCTGAACCCTGTCTCCATCCGTGCTGGGGGACTAAATGAGCAGGCTCACCCCGTTGTCATCCTGCCTGCTGCTGCGGGGCCCCAGATCTTAGGAGTTGCTGGGTACTTCTGGACAGTGAGGTTGTCTGAGCTGCCTCTAGGTTCCCTGAGTCTGGGGTGGGTGCTCCGGGGCTGGGCAGGAGATGCCCACTAGGAAGCTGCTACTCTCATGAGTGAGCTTTTCAATGAAATGAACAGGAAAATTAGCAAAATCATGTTCCTCATCATTCCTCCTATAGCGGCCCCAATTTTGCTAACTGCTACCATTATATGATGCATAAGTAGGGGAATGCATTTTAAAAATTATGGTAAAACCTATGTAGCTTATTACAAAATTGACCATTTTATTTATTTATTTATTTATTTTTGAGATGGAATCTTGCTCTGTCGCCCAGGCTGGAGTGCAGTGGCACAATCTTGGTTCACTGCAACCTCAGCCTCCCAGGTTCAAGCAATTCTCCTGCCTCAGCCTCCTGAGTAGCTGGGACTACAGGCGTCCACCACCACACCTGGCTAATTTTTGTATTTTTAGTTACAGACAGGGTTTCACCATATTCGTCAGGCTGGTCTTGAACTCCTGACCTTGTGATTCGCCTGCCTCAGCCTCCCAAAGTGCTGTGATTATAGGTATAAGCCTCCACGCCCAGCCTATTTTTAAAATTACTTTTTTAAGACAGGGTCTGGCTCTGTCACCCAGTCTGGAGTTCGGTGGCATGATCTTGGCTCACTGCCACCTCCACCTCCCAGGTGCAAGTGATTCTCCTGCCTCAGCCTCCCGAGTAGCTGGAATTACAGGCACACACCACCATGCCCAGATACTTTTTGTATTTTTAGTAGAGATGAAGTTTCACCATGTTGGCCAGTCTGGTTTTGAACTCCTGACCTCAAGTGATCCACTACACCTGGCCAAAATAGACCATTTAAATCATTTATTAGTGCACAGCTCAGGGGCATTTGGTCCATTCAAGGTGGTGTGCAGCCTTGACCAGCATCCATCTTCAGAACTCTTTTCATCTTGCAAAACTGAAACTTCTTACGCAGGAAACGTCAGCTTTCCGTTCCTCTTTCTCCCAGCCTCTGGTGACCTCCATTCTTCTTTCTGTCTCTGAATTTGACAACGCTAGGGACTTCACATAAGGAGAACCACACAGGATGCATCTTCTTTGTGGCTGGCTTATTTCACTCAAGGCCGATCCGTGTTGTAGTCTGTGTTGGAATGTCCTTCCTCCTTAAGGCTGAGGAACATTCCGTTGTACGTATATAGCATGTTTTGTTTATCCATTTATCTGTCATTGGACGCTAGGACTGTTCCCGGCTTTCAGCCATTGTGATTAGTTCTAGGAGCAGGAATGCATTTTTTTTAGAGGTAGGGTCTTGCTTTGTTTGTTGGCCAGGCTCATCTCAAACTCTTGGAGTCAAGTGATCCACCTGCCTTGGACTCTCAAAGTGCTGGGATTACGGGTGTGAGCCACTGTGTCTCGTTGGGAGTGTTTTTTTTTTTTTGAGACGGAGTCTTGCTCTGTCACCCAGGCTGGAGTACAGTGGCACAATCTCAGCTCACCACAACCTCCACCTCCTGGGTTTAAGCAGTTCTTCCTTAGCCTCCCAAGTAGCTGGGACTACAGGCACCTGCCATTACGCCCTGCTAATTTTGTATTTTTAGTAGAGATGAGGGTTTTACTGTGTTGGCCGGGCTGATCTCAAACTCCTGACATTGTGATCTACCCTCCTTGGCCTCCCAAAGTGCTGGGATTACAGGTGGGAGCCACCGTGCCCAGCCAGGAATGGATTTTTGAACAGTAGCTTGTTCCTGGGAGTACCCGTAGGTGAGCGGAAGGCGCAGTGGCTGCAGGGTGTCCAGAGCTTCCCTATTAATAGGTACCTTGGTGGAAACAGGTGCCCGGGTCCCAGGCCCCATCACTTGGCCAAATGTCCTTAGGAAAATGTGGCCTCACTCTCCACCCCCAGCCCACCACTTTGCTTTCTGTATCTGCAGGGAGGGGTTTCATGGAAAGGTTGTCTGTGAACCTGTAGGGGGCCCTATAGCCTGGAGTGGGTCCCAGCTGCCACTGTACCCACGGCCACGTGGGAGTGTGGGATCTCTATGTCCCCAGAGCAACTTGGGCCAGGCGGGCCACCCTCTTCTGTCTGAGGGTTATGGTTGTCACAGCAGCAGTGATGACAGTGATGCTGCCAGCTATTGTCTGACCCCCTAGAATGTCAAAGGGGACTGGGTGGTCTTCTGGGTCCGTTTCATCCTCAGGGCCCGGGACAGCCCCTGGCCTGCGAGGGGGACACAGAAAGCCCTGCTTGAGTGACCAAGTGAGTGAACCGGCCTTCCCTGTCCTCAGGTCCAGCTGGGAGCTCCCCGACCTCCAGGAGGGCAAGATCCAAGCCATCAGTGACTCGGACGGGGTGAACTACCCCTGGTACGGCAACACCACGGAGACCTGCACCATCGTGGGCCCCACCAAGAGGGACTCCAAGTTCATTATCAGCATGAACGACAACTTTTACCCCAGCGTCACGTGGGCCGTGCCCGTCAGCGAAAGCAACGTGGCCAAGCTCACCAACATCCACCGGGACCAGAGCTTCACTACCTGGCTGGTGGCCACCAACACGTCCACCAACGACATGATCATCCTGCAGACGCTGCACTGGCGCATGCAGCTCAGCATCGAGGTCAACCCCAACCGGCCCCTGGGCCAGCGCGCCCGGCTGCGGGAGCCCATCGCCCAGGACCAGCCCAAAATCCTGAGCAAGAACGAGCCCATCCCACCCAGCGCCCTGGTCAAGCCCAATGCCAACGACGCTCAGGTCCTCATGTGGCGGCCCAAGTACGGGCAGCCGCTGGTGGTGATCCCACCCAAGCACCGGTGACAGCCAGGGCCACCTGCCAGGTTAGACTTGCGAATAATAATACCGCTGAAAACAAAACGCAGACTAACTCTTCAGTCATTCAGCAAGATACAACCACTCTACCTTCTCCAGCGGGCGGGTCTCACCGTGCTGATGCCCCCGGGAAGGCCTCCCCGGCTCTCGGCACCTGCTTCCTTTCAGGGAGAGGGGAGACCTAAGCAGGACAGACAGACCCCACGTGTGCCCTCAGGGTCACCTCTGGTCTCCTTTCCTCTCCTTTTTCTCACAGTTTGTCGCTCACTTGTCACAGATTCCCTGAAACACTGCTTTTTCCGGTTTTTTAAAACCTCCTCTTTTGGGGGTTCAGGGGCAGGAGGAGGAGGAGCTGATCAGGAGGGAAGCCCCAGCCCCGATCAAAGAGACAGATCCACACTGCTGCCGATTCGTGGCGCTGGCCGGCCTTTCCCCCCGGGTCCCCGTCCCCCATCATGCGGCCTTACGTAGACTTGCTTTGCCAAACTTTTGCCTTAAGCCGAATTTCAAGGAAGAAAATGAATCGGAGACAGAAAGCAGGATTTCTTTTCTACCAGACTTTTCCTCTTCTGCCAGAGGTGGAGGGAGGGGTGGGGTCTCCTGTGAGGTTCTCCTGAGGCCTTTGTCCCCTTGTCTTGGGAGAAGGGTCAGGAGGGGCATTTAGAGCTGAAACCAGCTGCTCACTCTTGCTTTTTGGCAGAAACAAAACCACAGGCAGAATCTGCCCGAACAGCCCCTTCTCTCCCCCACCCCTAGGTCGCATCCCCCACCTGCGGAGAGGGGCTGTGATCTCTGGTGGGGTGACCCCCGCCAGCGGCCTGGCCTTTTCTCCGCTCTCCTTTCCCAGCAGCCTTAACTTCCCATGGGAGGCTCCAGGAGGAGAGAGGGAGGCTCCTGTGAGCCCAGGGAATTTTCACCCTCTCAGTCCTCAGGACCCACCCCCAGTTGGGTCCCTGGTCCCTCCCTCCAGGTATGTGGCTTTATCTTTCTCCATCCACACTGGTCCCCGGTGCCTGGGGGCTGGCCACCCGTACCGCCAAGACACAGCCTCACTGTGAGTCTCAAAGGTAAGGAAGGCATTCATGTCCCCTCTTGCAGGGATTTTAAGACTTGAATGGGGCAGGCCCTGGCCCCTATGGCTGGCTGGGCTCTAGTGTACTGTAAAGGGGCCAAGACAGGGCTTGTTCTCAGGGGGCGCCCCTCCCAGGCCCTCGGGGCAGGGGGAGGGTGCAGTCAGGCTCTGAGTGCCACAGTGATGAGGTGGGAGGTACCCAAGCTATAAGGCAGTCTTGGGAGGCCATCAGCTGAGCCTGTGCTTCCTGTCCTCAAAGAAGTGAATCCAGGTCAAGGGCTGGGAGGGCTGAGTTGGCCCATGGTTGAGAAGGGTCAGAGCCGCTCTGGAGGCTGGGATGGCACAGTGGACAGCATCAGGTAAGGACAGACATCGGGAAGCCCATCCCTGGGACCTGCTCTCCCTCGGTCCCAGGCCTCGGGAGCCTCAGGCCACGCTTAGTCCTGACCCATTGTGCCAGGGTTCTGAGTAGTGTCAGCCTGTAGCTGCTAGCAGGGGTTAACGGGACATTCTGCCGAAGCCACGTTCCTTCCAGCTTGCCAAACCCACAGCTACCCCCCACCCCCGTCCCGGGGCCTGCACTCAGCCTAATAATTATCAAGCACAGAAAACCGTCCATTTAGAAAAATAATCCATTTCTGCTGCAGATGAGCCACTTGTAGGAGTCTCTGTGACAGCGTGGGACAGTGTGGGCACCGAGGTTCCTGCTCCGCCCCTTCGTCCACGGGCTGTTGCATTTATTCAAGGGGTGCTTAATGCCCGTTCAGTCTCTGCCGTCAGTCTCTGGGCCCAGCTCTTGCCAGGAGGCTGTCCTGACACACACTGGGCTGGAGCTGCCGGCTGGCACGGTGCTCAGAGGGCCCTTGGTGGGGGCCAGAGCTCCCCGAAGAAACTGCAGGTTCTCTTTTGTGAGTATGGGGGCTGTGCCACCTGGAGAGGCAGTAGCCTTGAGGAGAACAGTGGGTCCCAGCTGCAGGTCTGGGGATGGCGGGAATGGGCCTGGGACTCGGCTTTCATTCACTGGAGACGATTCTCCACTCAGGTCTTTATTGCACTAACTCGGGCCGGGGCCCTGGGGGTTTAGGAAGCAGGTCTCTAGCTGCTGGGTTCTTCCTGGAGGTGGGGCTAGAGAGCAGAATGGAAAGGGGCTTCCTGAGCTGCTGGGGGGCAAGGGGCCCCGAACCTACATTTCTTGAGTGTGCGCAAACACTCGGAGCAGGAGCCAGCACCCCTCCCTCTGCATGCCCGGCCCCCAGCCCACCTTGCCCCCTGAGCCACCCTCACCCACGCCCTTTCTTTCCGTCCTTCCTTCCTTACTGAAGAAGGGCTGGGAAGACCCCAGCCAGGCTGCAGGTCTGGCTGCGGATGCTCAGCTCAGCTCCGGCCTGGTCCCCAGCCTCCTTCCTCCTGTCGGAGCACAGGCTCCAGGCGTCTTCCCCGGGCCCTGATCCTCTTCTGTCCCCCAGCCCTGCCCTGGCGTGGACAGTCACCCACTCCTTCCAGCAATAAGCACCGTCCGTGGAGAGTACTGTGAAACAAACCAATGCACTTCCCAGGAGGCACAAGACTCTTGAAGAAGATGTAAAATGAACCTTTTTTTAAAAAAAAAAACAAAAAAACAAATTATTCATAAAGAGAAATAAAATGTAATTTTAAAGTAGGCTTGGCTAGGTCCTGGGTGTTTCCGAAGCGGTGCTTCACTCTGGAGTTGGTGGCTCTGTGCTGGCTGCGGGGGTGAATGTATTTCGGGGGCAGGAAGATCGGCTGAGGCTGGCGTCCCTGTTGTCAGGGCTGGGAGATGGGAGGAGGGAGCCAGCCTTTGAGCCCTGCACCTTCCAGCTGCTTCTGCTCACAGTCCCCTCTCCAGTGAGAGCAGCCCTGCAGCCTCAGCCTTGTACCAGAAAGTGTCCCTGCCAGTGCCCTGCCTGGAGGGTGGTGGGCTTGGAGGTAGAGCTAGGAATTGGGGGCAGTATGGCTTTTCGACGAACAATAAAACCCTTACGTCAAGGGCGATTAATGTTTAGGTTGACCCTTAACTTGGGCCTGCAAAACTCTCTTCCTGTGGTCTAGCTGGACAGTGTCAGTCTGAACAGGGGCTCCATGCCCTGCCCTTGGCCAGCAGATGACGACGACTCCCACGGGGCCCCAGCCTTGAATGGATACCATCTTATAACTGGAGCTTTTTTTGTGTAAGCATGGGTGGGCACCCCGGAGGTCCTGGAGTGGCTGTGGACTCTGAAGGCAGACCATAAGTTCAAGGCCATTTATGTGGGCTTGAACATGACACTCAGCCCCTCTGAGCCTTATTTACCTTGTATGGAAAACGGAGATTTGGCCAGGTGTGGTAGCCCACACCTGTAGTCTCAGCACTTTCAGAGTCCAACGTGGCGGATCACTTGAGGTCAGGAGTTTGATACTAGCCTGGCCAACATGGTGAAACCCCATCTTTACTAAAAGTACAAAAAATTAGCTGGGCATGGTGGTGGGTGCCTGTAGTCCCAGCTACTCGGGAGGCTGAGGCAGGAGAATCACTGGAACCCAGGAGACTGAGGCTGCAGTGAGCCGAGATTGCACCGCTGCACTCCAGCCTGGGTGACAGAGGGAGACCCTGTCCCAAAAAAAAGGAGAACAGAAAATGGAGATTTCCAGCTGCCTCCTGGCGGATTCCGTGGAAATTCCCTGTTCCACTCTGTTTCCTGGTGCGAACTCATTGAATCCTCATGACAACCCCACATGGGAGGTGTTATTGCCACCCCCATTTCACAGAGGAAGGAATGGGGAAAGTGGGCACCAGGAGCTGCCTGAGACCACGCAGCTAGCACAAGCCAGAGCCAGGATTCGAACTCTGGCCACAGAGCCACCTCTCGCCATGGTGCACTCTCAGCCTTGAGCCTGAGACTGTGGGGCCATGTGCAGTGTCCAGCAACATTGGTGACTGTTACTGAGAAGGTCCCATGCCTCTGCTCCCCCATCCTGGGAGCCCCAGACAGGAAGTGCACCCCACTCCCTGCCCCGGAAGTCTTGGGGCCGTCAGTTCTTTCTGGTCCGCAATGAGCCCATCTCATTCCCTTTGAGGAGGGGCTGGGTGGTCAGCTGTACCCACCACACAGGCGCATCTTCCAGGGTGAGCAGTGGCTTCTCTGCACCACCACCACCGGCACAGGGAGGCCCCACGCACCTGGGCATCAGAATTGGGTTCTTCTGTGGTTCTCCACGTTGCGGCACTCGCCTCTGCCTCCTGGGGCTGAGACACCAAAGCAGGAAATTGCATAACAGGCACTGCTGGCTGCGCTCCACACAGATGGCTTCTGGGTGGTGCAGTTCACTGTCGTGGTTTGGCGTCTCTGCATGAAGTCGGCTCCTGAGCTCTGCCCATGAGAGACCGTGGGGGTGTGTGTGTATGGGGGTGGGGGTGTGTATGTGTAGAGAGAGGGGTGCAGGCCTAACCTGACCGCCCGGCTTCAGCTCAGGAGCTCAGAAGAGCAAAGCATTCACGCAGAGGCTCCGTGAGACGGGAGGCGCAGCCCAAGTCTGTAGTTAACCGTTTTGAGAGGGAAATGCCCAAGGAGGGAGGTTGTGAGTGAAGTGGATTCCAAGTGGCATTTAGTCACATCGTGGAAGCCCTCCAGCCTCTCCAGCTGACAGCAGGTAAAATTTAGAAGTCCAGACTGGGAGGAGAGGCAAAGACAGTAGACGCTGCCCAGCTGTCACGGGTTCCTCTCCAGGATCCGGGCCTGGGAGAGCCAGCTGTCTAGGCCGGGCCAGCCCCACCTGGCCGAGACATCGAAGGTCTGGGAGAGGCAGCTGCACCACAGCCCTACACACCTCCACCTCCCACCTTCGAAGTCACTTCTCAGGAGAGCCCTTTCTGCTCTGAGCTGTTTTTTTGTTTCACGGTGGAGTTGTTTGTTTGTTTGTTTGTTTGTTTATCACTGGCACTCATCTCACAGATTTTTTATTTTATTTTATTTTATTTATTTTGGGGGGGGAAGAAAGAAAAAGAGAAAGAAAGGAAAAAAAAGAATGAAAGAGAGAAAGAAAGAGGAAGAGAAAGAGGGAGAGAGAATGGGAGTCTTGCTTTATTGCCCAGGCTAGATGCAGTCTACAAAATGTTATGTTCTGCGGACCTGCGGTGAAGAATTCTATAAATATTCACTGAGTTTACTTTTTCCAGGTCTGAGTTCAAATCATAGATGTCCCTGTTAATTTTCTATCTCATTGATCCGTCGAATATTAACAATGTGGTGTCAAAGTCTCCCGCTATTACTGTGCGGGAGTCCAAGTCTCTTTCAAGTCATTAAGAACTTGTCTTATGTATCTGGGTGTTCCTATATTGGGTGCATATATATTTATGATCATTGACTCCTGTCGTTGCATCGATCCTTTTACCATTATGTAATGTCCTTGTTTCTTTTAGTCTTTGTTACTATTAAAGTCTATTTTGTCAGAGACAAAAGTTACAACTCCTGTTTTCTTTTTCTTTTTTTTTCCTCTCCATTTGATTGGTGAGTCTTCCACCAACCCTTTGTTTTGAGTCTTTGTGTGCCCTTGCTTATGAGATGGATTTGGATACAGCGAACTGATGGGTTTTGACTTTTTATTCAATTTGCCTGTCTGTGTCTTTGATTAGGGCATTTAATCTATTTACATTTAGGATTAATACTGATATTTGTGAGTTTAATATTGTTGTTTAATGCTAGCTGGTTATTTTGCCCATTAGTTGATACAGATTCTTCATTATGGAGATAGTCTTTATTGGTAAGTTTTTGGGATGACTGATATTGGTTGTTCCTTTCTGTGTGTAGTGGTTCTTTCAGAAGCTCTTGTAAAGCAGGCCTGGTGGTGAAATCTCTGAGTGCTTGCTTGTTCGTGAAAAATTTTATTTTTCCTTCATTTATGGAGCTTAATTTGGCTGGATATGAGATTCTGGGTTGAAAATTCTTTTCTTTGAGGATATTGAATATTGACCCCCACTCTCTTCTAGTTTTTAGGGTTTCAGCTGAGAGATCTGCTGTGAGTCTGATAGGCTTCCCTTTATGGGTAACCTGATCTTTCTCTCTAGCTGCCCTTAGAGTTTTCTCCTTTATTTCAACCCTGGTGAATCTAACGATTATGTGTCTTGGGGTTGCTCTACTTGAGGAATATCTTTGTGGTGTTCTCTGTATTACCTGAAGTTGAGTATTTTCCTGCCTTACTAGGTTAGGAAAGTTTTCCTGAATAATATCCTGAAGAATATTTTCCAGCTTGGATTCATTCTCTTCATGACATTCAGGTACATCTATCAAACGTAAATTAGGTCTTTTCACATAGTCCCATATTTCTTGGAGACTTTGCTCATTCCTTTTTACTCTTTCTTCTCTAATCTTGTCTTCTTGTTTCATTTCATTAAGTTGGTCTTCAACCTCTGTTATTCTTTCTTCTGCTTGATAATTCAACTGTTAAAACCTGTGCACACTTCGTGGCGTTCTCGTATTCTTCAGTTCCATTAATTCACTTATATTCCTCTCTAAATTGTCTATTCTCGTTAGGATTTCATCAAACCTTTTTTCAAGGTTGTTAGTTTCTTTATATTGGGCTAGAACGTGTTCTTTTAACTCACAGAAGTTTCTTATTATCCACCTCTGAAACCTAAATCTGTTAATGGAACGCACTCATTCTCCATCAGGCCTCGTTCCCTTGTTGATGAGGAACTGTGATCCCCTGTAGAGGGAGAGACATTCTGATTTTGGGTATTCTCAGCCTTTTTATGCTGGTTTCTTCCCATCATTGTAAATGTATCCACCTGTCATCTTTGTAATTACCAGCTTTCAAATTAGGTCTCTGAGTGGACGTCCAACTTGTTGATTCCTACCACCGGAATCTGAGCAACCCACTGTGCCAGCCAAAACGGCAGCGTTAAGATTCTTGGTGCTTTTCTGCCCGGGAATCTCCGGTCTGGCTTCCCTTTTTCAATCAGCTGAATGAGAGACTCTGCCTTCCCGGAGCTCCAAACGTCGACCAAAAGGGGACCCAGTCCCGTTTACTCTGCACCAAGAACCGCCGCGCCGGCCACAAGAGTCGCGCTGGTGACCCGTGGGGCTCCTCCGCTGGGAATCTTCTGGTCAGTGAGCAACAAAAATTCTTCTGAAAGTGTGGCGTCCTCTCGTTCTCTGCGCTTTCACTGGGAGCTATAGTCCTGAGCTGCTAGTAATCAGCCATCCTGGATCTCTCCTCAAGTTTTGCTCTTGTTGCCCAGGCTGGAGTGCGGTGGCACGATCTTGGCTCACCGCAAGCTACGCCTCTCAGGTTCAAGCGAGTCTCTTGCCTCAGCCTCCTGAGCAGCTGGGATTACAGGCGTGTACCACCATGCCCAGCTAATTTTGTATTTTTAGTAGAGATGGGGTTTCTCCATGTTGGTCAGGCTGGTCTCTAACTCTCGACCTCAGGTGATCCACCCGCCTCAGCCTCCCAAAGTGCTGGGATTACAGGTGTGAGCCACCGTGCCTGGCCTGGAGCTGTTTTAAATGGGACAGAGACTGGCTATAGGCTGGGCCATGAGGCCAAACAGGAAAACCCCTCTTGGGGCCCCCAGAAAAGACAGTTTCATTGGAAACTGCAAAAGAGGTGATAGCCTGTGGCTCTTGAAGGACGTCGGAGGTTTTCTAACAGCCCAGGTGATCTT